AAAAGATTCTTCTGAACCAGGCTTGGTGTAGGAAGGCCTGAGGTTTCAATATGTATCCAATTGGGCTCACATTTGGATATGTCATAATAGACACCCATCGGAACAACTTTTATGAAGAATGTATTCCCATCTGAGTAGTACAAGTGTACGTTTTGGGCCTTGCAAGTTGACTACCGAAAATAGACTGGAATTGACAATGCATTGCAGTCAGCTCGTGGCTTGTTTTGGGCTTGATATTCCCTCCTACAAAATCTGGAAAAATCTGGATCTTCAAACCCTTTGAATTATCTTTTTAAGCATATGCAGCACAACTCAAGAAAACATCGGAAAGACCTTCAAATGTCATTTTTGGCCCAGTAACGCAGATACTGCCGAATTTGACCTTAAGCTGCCAAAACTTGCATAACTTTCTCTAGAAGACTCGGAATCATGAACCGTGAAATTCTCCAGAAACTAGACTTCCGCATATTTCCAATGATATATGGCTCGTTATCTAGTTCTTCTTGAGCAAGTACAGTCTAATCCGTGAAGTTGACTGATCTACAAACACTATTTTGAGCTAACTTGTCTCCAAAATGCATTTAATGAGTCTCAAGCTTATTACACTGAAACAAACACAAAATTTATTAAAAGCACAAGTTTAACTAAAAAAAAAAACCAAATCATAAGTTATAAGGATACAAAATGATATGTAATTATGCACCGATCATGTTCGTTCCGCCACCTTCTATCGTATGAATTTTCTTGTTTCTTCCCTTACCCTGTTCTCTTGAGTTGTAAATTTAAGTTTTGTCTATGGGGTGCCTATTATTGGAAGTTTTAATAAGGCTTGAGGTCTACAGAACTATTAGTTGATGGTGTGTGCCTTTATCTCGTGCATGCTGGAGGTTGGGAGATATCTTTATACTCGTTTTTACAAGTGAAAGTAAATGGGGAAAAGTACCAATTACAAGGGAGGCTCTGCTGAATCCTCGGCAGAAGTCAATATCTATTTTTGGTGAAAAATAAGAGAAAAAGGTGTTTTAGTAAATGAGTTTGACATCTGCTGGATGTGGAAAGGGAATAGGGTTCGTCACGGGTTCCAAGGGGGAATCCGAGGCGGGTCCTATCATAAAAAATGCAACATCATCTGAACTCCTGAATGCGATAAAGCTTTTGCTAAACTGAATGAGTATATGAGCAATGTGCCCCTCCTGTCCAAGCTAGAACCAAGAAAGGGAATAAGGTTCGTCACGGGTTCCAAGGGGGAATCCGAGGTGGGTCCTATCATAAAAAATGCAACATCATCTGAACTCCTGAATGCGATAAAGCTTTTGCTGAACTGAATGAGTATATGAGAAATGTGCCCCTCCTGTCCAAGCTAGAACCTGGCGAGGTTCTTATGCTTTACCCTAAACCCAAAAATTTGACATTCACTCTAAGCAACGACCAACTGAGAAGGGTCAAGCCATCACTGATTTCATTTTAGAATTTACCAACTCTACCCTCCAGGACATGCTGAGATTATCAACAAATCTGCTCCTGTACCGAACCTGGTTCACCGTATTGCCGAAGGAAACTTTGATATAAGTGAGCCACTTTGGACTCTTCATGTTGATGGATCCTCCAACTCACAAGGTCGTGTTGTAGGATTGGTGCTCACTTCCCCATATAAGGTGGTTCTGGAGTATGCCCTTTGTTTCAACTTCCAAACTTCAAACAACGTGGCAGAATATGAAACACTCTTGGTTGGCCTTCAGCTAGCCAGATAGCTTGGGGCTCTGCATATTCAAATCTTTAGTGATTCACATCTATTCATTCATCAAGTCCATTATGACTTTCTTGCCAAGGACACATCTATGACAACTTATCTTTGGTATACCTATCAACTCATGCAGACCTTCAGTGCTTACCGAATCAGCCAAATCCTCCGATCTAAGAATAGCCACATTGATGCCTTGGAACGGTTGGCTTCGGCAGTTGACAGTAGCCTTGGTCGCAATATCCATGTCAAGCTCTTGGATGCGCCCATCACCCAAATGCTTGTAGTTCGCAACATTGACCACATCGCCACTTGGATGGACCCAATCTTCCAATTCCTAAAAAACCAAACCCTGCATGCAAACCCTATCGAAGCACGACGAGTTCGTTATTGTTCTACTTGGTAATTGATCATCAACGAAGCTTTGTACAAGTGTGGTTTCAGCATACCGTACCTTCCATGTGTTACACCATAAGAAGGTAACTATGTTCTTCGTGAAATCCACGAAGGCATCTGTGGCAATCATTTTGGCGCTCGATCCCTTGCTCACAAGGTAATTCGGCATGGGTATTTTTGGCCAACTATCCATTCTGATGCTTAGGCCTGCACTAAAAAATGTGACAAGTGCCAACGGTTCGCTACTATATCTCAGGCTCCTGCCAA